CCAGTCTGGGCGACCGAGTGAGACTCCAACTCAAAAAACAAAACAAAACAAAACAAAAAACAAGAATATGATGCAGCTATTACAAGGAATGAGCTAGAATTATATGTAACACCCCAAAAAGATGTCCCCCGTAGAGTCAAGTAAAAACCAGCAAGTTACGGAGTGATATTCATATGATCCAATTTTTGTAAGAATAAACAAAATCCCTATGCATGTACTGTATGGTTATGTCATCATGGTCTAGAAGGACTGTCAGTAACCACCATCACCCAGATGGAGAGGGAGAGGACCACCCTGGCTTCCTCACCTACACTTATATATTGTTGCAAATTGTTACTGTAAACATAGAAGTTTTTAAGAAGTCTAAAAACCCTTCAACGTTTTTTTAATTACTGTATCAATCGTTTCCACCAAGAATGCTGTTGACTACCCTGAGGGGTAATCAACGTTAATTTAAAAAAAAATTGAGGGTATACGAAAAGATGGACAAGTGCAGTGAGAACTACAAAGACCAGACATTCACTCCAAATACGGCGCAATAAACACTATCCGTAGGTACCGAGGCCGCCATCTGACAGGCGGAGGTTACGCCGCCGCCGGGGATCCCTGACCTTCCACTCCCTGCTCCACCCTGATAACACCCAGCAGTTCGTCGAAGGCTGGCGTGATGTCAGAAACCCGAGGTGGTTTAAGCGATGCAGATGGGAGTCGTGGGGCTTGGAGCCGCGAACCAAGGTCGAACGCCCGCCCCCGCCCAGCCCAGCGACTCCAGGCGCAAAGGCCGACTCGACTGGCCGCCAAGTCCCCAGACGCTAGCCTCCCCAGGGGTCGCCGGCGCGGACAGACTGTCATCAGCGGTCCCGGCCCCGATCCCCGTCCCACGGTGCGCGGCGCCCACCTTCCGCGTGCAGTGCTCACACTTCATCTGGAGTGAAGCGGGCGCGAGGCCAGGAGCCTCGGCCTGAGGGAAGAACCGGGAAACACGAACACCGCCGCTCGCGGCCCGCGGCCCTTTGTTGTCCTCCCCGGCGCGGCCCCACCCCCAACGGCGGCACCCGGCCAATGAGAACGTCGGAACAAGGCAAGCCACACCTCTGAGCCAATAGAAGTGCGAAGAGAGTGGTGGACTTCCCCCCGCTCCCACGACTCTGTCTACGCCAATGAGAGCACAGGAAAGGGGCGGGTCTCGTTCCGGAGCCAATCGGAGCGCGCAGGGCGGAGCACGTCCTCACTCTCTCGGTCCGTGGTTCTTGGGAGCCCTGGGACGGTCATTGCTCCGTGTCGCGTTCGTCGAGCTGCTGCGGCTAAGCGACATTCAAGAGGGAGCGGAGAAAATGCAGACCATCCCGAGGTGCCTGAGCAGGGGCTGTCCTGGGCGCTTGGTCCGGCTGTCACGGAGCCAGACTGACCCCGGGCTCCCGGAGGCCGCGACCAGGCTCGGTCACTCGTCTCCCCCGTGGCTCTTCGCGGGCGGAGCCAGCGCTGCCCTGACGAGGAGGGGCGTAGGCGAAGCCCTTGTCTGCCGCCATTGCCGCCTAGCGGTGCATCACGTAGGCTGGGTGGTGGGGGGGGGGGGTGGAGGGGAAAAGGTGGCGGCGCGCATGCGCGCATGTCCGGGCAGGACACGTGGACAGAGCCCGGAAGCACGAGGACAGGTATTTGTCATTTGCGCGTGTTCACTGTAGATAATTTTACTAAGGGGGAACTCCCCAGAAACGGGAACGTGTTTATAAAAAATTGCATGTTTATTCTTATACGTGTAAACTTTGGTCACCTCCAGAGTACTCTCTGATGCAATACACCTAACCCAGACGCTTTTTCCGCTGCTCAAAACGGGTTTTGAACTCATCAATTTTTATGCCATTATTTTTGTTTGTTTCACCACTTACATATTGGCAGAACGTTTCCTTTTGAGGACTTTTCATCTGGGGAAACAAAGTCACTCGGAGTGAGATCGGGTGAATAGGGAGGGTGGGGCACAGGGGTCATGCCTTTTCGGTCAAAAAAACAGCTGAACACTAAGGGTAGTGTGGGCAGGTGCGCTGGTAAATCATACATCACGAAATGGGCAAACACATTGAAAGAATCTCCAAAAAAATTTCACTAAAGCCTAATGCAGCCCCTCAACAATGCCAGCTGGTTTCACTGATGGAGATGGGTTCCTAGAACACTTAGTCAGGAAAGCCTGTACTACAAGGGGCCTGCCTCCAAAAAAAATTCCATTTTTTTAAATTCCCCCCTAGTACATCGATTTCAGGCCCTTACATTTTACAAAGCAGAGAATTATTGTTACTTCAAGAAAATAATTTCAGCTAAGCAAAACATTGATACCATGTGCAGGGTTATAACGGAAATGTTGAACTCTATTAATTATTAGCATTTTATAAAATCACTCAGAAATGAGAAGCAAGTATAGAACATGCCTGGTCAGTGTTACATAAGAAAAACAACTTGAAGGGGTCTTTAACAGACAGCAACCATTCTCAGGACACCCTATGATACACTTTTTCTTCCTTTCCTCAAAGCAGAAGTAAACATTCTTCTCACCTCTGGAGTTTACAGAGGCCAAAGAAATATTTAAGGCTGTTCCAGTCCTGGAAATCTCACTAGGATGTTTTAATTTTCTTCTTTTTTTTTTTTTTTCCTTAGAGACAGGGTGTCATTCTGTCACTTAGGCTCAAGTGGAGGTGACAGGAGTGGTGGAGCTTGGAGCATGATCCAAGCCTTGACCTGGGCTCAAGTGATCCTCCTGCCTCAGGCTTCCAAGTAGCTGGGACTACAGGCACATGACACTGTGCCCAGCCTGGATAACTTTTTATATTTTAAAATTTTTGGTAGAGACAGGGTCTCACTAAATTGCTGAGATTGGTCTCAAATTTCTGGCCTCAAAGGATCCTCCCATCTGGGTCTCCCAAAGTGGTGGGATTATAAAGGCTAGCCACTGCACCCTGCTGGATCTTTTTTTCCTATTAAAAAAAATTTTTCTTATTTTTAGAGGTTTCAGTTCATACAGCTTTTTACAAATGTACCAATAAAAATTAGGAGGTCTTAACCCTCTTGGTTACTCAAATTCATGTCAGCAACTCTCAGCAAGAATAAAAGGATAATTTTTGGTTATTTGCATATGCTTTTATTAATGTTTTAAAAACACAAGTGCAATACAGTTAAAAGAACAAATAACAATCACTTATTTTTATCAAATAGTGTCCAGATTTCCCCGATTGTCTCACAATTTCTTTATAGTTTGTTTAAATCAGGATCTAAAAAAGGTCTAATATGTTTATTAGTCAATAATACAATTGGTTTATATGTTTCTCATCTGTTTCTTAAAAAAAAAAAAGCAGGGCACAGTGGTTTATGCCTGCATAATCCCAGCACTTTGGGAGGCCAAGGCAGGAGGATTACTTGAGTTCAGCCTGGGCAACATAGTGAGACCTTGTCTCTACAAAAAATCAAAACATTAGCTGGGCATGGTGACACACTTGGTAGTCCCAGCTACTTGGGAGGTAGAAGGATTGCCTGCCCAGGAGTTTGAGGCTGTGGTGAGCTGTGTTCCTGCTACTGCATGCCAGCCTGGGTGACAGTGAGACACTGACTCAAAACAAACAAACACAAAATTTTGATTTTGACAAAACTTGACAAACCTCTTACTTAGAAGTTAAAAAGAGAGTTTTCCTGGTCCTAGGATTTTTCACTTTTTTTTTTTAAAACCTGTAGGTTCTATCCATATCCCTCTTTCTTCCTTGTATATCATCATTCAAAAATCAGGTCATTTGCCTATAGGGTTTCCCACAATTGCCGACCATATCCCTATTGAATTCTTTAGTATATTCTTGTTCTCTGAAATTCCGATAAATGGGTAGTTAGATCATTTTAGAGGCTTGCTCACATACAGGTTAAATTTTTTCTGGCAAGTATGCTTCACAGATGGTATTGTGCCATCCAATATCTAACTGTCCTTTTTGTGATGTTAATTACCAGTCATTGATAAAATTGCCTAGGTTCACTAATTCATTAGGGTGATGGCTAATTTTACCAGTTCTCTTCATTTATTAGTGGGAATACTGATATAATGAGACATTTCCCCTCATGCACTGTTTGGTTGCACTTGTACATTTTATAAAGAAAAGCAGGATAAATGCTTTACTAACCAGTCAAAAACTCAAATTTGTCAGCATCCTCCAAAATGAACAGAGTTAAAAAATACATTATGAAATAAGGATTTAAACACCTGATGATTTTCAATTCATTGGATTTTTTTGGGGGGGGGTGGTGGTAGGAATCTCACTCTGTCGCCCAGGCCGGAATGCAGTGGCATGCTCACAGCCACCACAACCTCGACCTGCCGGGCTTAGGCAATCCTTCTGCCTCAGCCTTCCAAGTAGCTGGAACCAAAGGAATACACTATCACATCTGGCTAATTTTTTGATTTAATGTAGAGACGAGGTCTCGCCAAGTTGCCCAGGCTGGTCTCGTACCCCTGGATCCAGACAATCCTCTTGCTTCCCCCTCCCAAAGTACTGCTATTACAGGTGTGAGCCACCGTGTCTGGCAGAATTATTATTCTTAGCTGAAATCTTTTGTTTTTTAGCAGAGAGACTTGCTCCAGTTAGGCTTTTAAGTTCTTCTGACAAAATGCTAATAGTCTTTATAGCTTCTTTGCTTTCTGATACATTTCCCTGATATATGTCCAGAACTAAATCAGACTTTTCTTCAAGGAACCTGGTTCCTTTAGTGGAATTCTTTTTTTTTTTTTTTTCTTTTAGAGCTGGGTTGTCGCTCAGTGGTGCAATTGTAGCTCACTGCAGCCTCGAAATCCTGGGCTCAAGATAGCCTCCTGCCTTGGCCTCTCAAGTAGCTGGGACTACACGTGTGCACCAGCTAATTTATTAATTTTTTTTGTAGAGATGGGGTCCCTCTGTGTTGCCTAGGCTGGTCTCCTGGTCCCGTGATCCTCCCACCTTGGCTTCCCAATGTGCTGGGATTACAGGTGTGAACCACTCCGCCCAGCCTAATTTAAAAATAAAATTTGGGGGGGGTAGAGGCGGGAGTCTCGCTATGTTGCCCAGACTGGGAGAGTTCTTAGTGCACTGTCTGGTTAAAAGCAAATGCAGCTCGGGGAGAGGACCTCGCAGGGCCCTCCTCCAGCGAGCAGGTGGTGAGTGTCCAAGTAGAAAACGGGGAGAGGCCACGGAAAAGGATCAAAGGATTTCCTGGAGAAACTCTCCTGCTAGGACCCTCCTTTCTAGACTGGAGCGACTTTCTTAGTAACAGAAAAATGGCCGTCAATAGGATTGACAAAAGTGTGACGTTTAGTTTTCCCAGCTACAATGACATTTTTGGAGACATTCAAGCCTTTTTTTTTTTTTTTTTAACCATGAAGTTACTAGACATCTTTTTGTTAGATTAATTTTAGGTACTCCGCATTTTCAGTGTTATTTTTCGCAGCTTGTTTTTTTTTTTTTTTTTGAGTTGGAGTCTCACTCTGTCGCCCAGACTGGAGTGCAGTGGCCGCTCCCGGCCACCGCAGCCTCGACCTGCTGGGCTCTGGCGATCCTTCCGCCTCAGCCTTCCAAGTAGCCGGAATTACAGGCATGCGCTACCACGCCCGACTGATTTTTTGATTTATTGTAGAGATGAGGTCTCGCTGCCCAGGCGGGTCTCGAACCCGCGGGCTCAGGCAATCCACTCACCTCAGCCTCCCAAAAGCGCGGGATTACAGGCTGAGCCACCGAGCCCGGCTTTTCGCAGCTTTTTAAAGGTATAACCTACATACCTTTACATGCAATTTAAGGTTTCAGTCCGCCCAACAGACGTCACGAGAACACGGAGAGGCGGCGTGTTCTAGCCGCGGCTCACAATCTGCTCTGCTGGGGTTACGCACCATCTCCCTTCGCGCATGAATGAATTAGATCCGGTGTTTGGGCTGGCCCCGCCCCTGACACAGGAAGTCCGCGCGAACGCGCCCAATCCCGGAAGTACGCGCGGGCCCTCACCAGTTGGTTAGCGTCCCTTGGCAGTGGCCCGGAGAGGTCTCTTGGTAGGCGGGCGGGCTCCCGCTCTTCCATCTAGCTCCGTGTCGCGCGTCCCCTCGCCCTCGGACCCGCTTGGGGCTAAGGCCAGGTCCTAGACCTGCCTGCTGGCCGTGCGTGTTCCGCAGTGTCCCGCGCGTAACCACGCGCGTGTGCAGTTGCCGTGCTCCGAGTCGGCGGCAAGGCGAGGGCCCCTTGTTGTCAGGTCTGTTCCGGGCGCGGTGCGGCCTGCAGGGGCTGAGCCGCGGGTGTCTGGGGCCATCACGGGCGGGGGATGCTCCCTCGACCCGGACAAAGAGCCGAGCGCGTGTGTTGCACGCATGTACACGTTTATGTGCGGCGTTTATGTGCCAGGGGCGGGCTGTTTGTGAATCTGTGCTAGCAAATGAGGCGGGGAGGAGGCGAGTCATGGACTAACATGTAGGATTCATTTGTGTGATTTGAATCCGCTATTTATTGTCGTAACTTTGACTTGACTTTACAGGGAAATACCTGAGAAACTACCCAGAATTGGGTCCCAGGAGCCAGTATTTTGCCTGTATAAACAGTCAACAGGACTGTTGTAGCCCTGGCAGAATTCTCCTTTTGTGGAAGATTAGCCCCTTTGGAGACTGGTTTTGGCAACGTGTTTGAACTCTCCCTGTGTAGTCTGAAGTTTCAGCAAGTGGAGGAGATCAAAGCGAAAGCTTTTTCTGTCCATGCCAGTACAGACTGAAGCTGTGATGAGACTTTCACTTCCCCCTCTTGGTGGAGGCCAGCATAGGGGAAAGAGAGGGGTTCTGGTAGGGTGCTGGAAACTTGAAGGCTGCTGGCCTAGCTGCTTCTTGTTAGGAAGGTTTCCTACCTTAAGGTTTCCAGGTAGGACAGGAGCAGGTGATGATCAGGTTGACACTTTGCACGTCTGCATGGAGGAAGAAGCCCCAGTGCAGTCAGTGCAATTATGAGCAGAAGGCCTCCCTTAGAGGAAGCAGAGTCCCTGGAGGATAAAGTGACATGCCCAACCACAGGCAGGCTGAGGGTGTCTGGGCCTGCAGGTGCCTCTGTTGGGGAGCCTGCTCCTGGCCTCCTGTCTGGGCCTGATAAGGTGGGCACTTACATATGGGTAGTGGACCACAGGCTCCAGCTGTCTGTGTCTGTTCCTCCCCAGACCTCATCTGTTGAGAGAGGTACCAGCACATTCCAGGGATGTACATGCAGGTGGAGACACGCACCAGCTCCCGCCTCCATCTGAAGAGGGCTCCGGGCATCCGGTCCTGGTCCCTGCTAGTTGGTAAGGCTTTCCATGTTTCTTCCCCAAACGGGAAACCTAACTTTAAAAAGGATGGAAATGAAGTTTTTTCCTTTTTGTTCTAGTACCTTGAAATATAGCAACTATTTTGTTTTATTGTATCCTTTTAGATTTTCTTCACACATGGTTTTACAGATAATGAATATCTATTTTGTATTTTTTTTTTTAAGTCTGGGTTTCACTCTGTCGCCCAGGCTTGAGGGCGGTGGCACAATCACAGCTCACTGCGGCCTCAAACTCCTGTGCTCAAGTGATCCTCCCACCTTAGCCTCCCGAGTGGCTGGGACTACAGTCATGTGCCGCCACCTGGCTAATTTTTTTAAAAATTTTTTATAGAGATGAAGTCTTGCTATGTTGCCAGGCTGGTCTCAAACTCCTGGGATCAAGCAGTCCTCCTGTCTTGGCCTCCCAAAGTGTTGGGATTACAGACGTAAGACACCATGCCTGGCCTGTTTTGTCTTTTTTTTTTTTTTTTTTTTTTTTTTTTTTTGGTAACACTAACATCTTTCTGTATTATGCATGGTTTTCTGAGGTCATTATGTTTTCCTTTGTACTTGCTTTGATCTATGTGGTGGGCAATCATGGGTTCCCATTTTTCTCTTTCTTGGCCCTCAGTCCCTTTCACGAGTCTGCTTAGCCTCCTGGCCTCTGTCCCCCATCCCTGCCTACTTGAAGGGTCCTGTACCCTTGGGTACAGCTGCACTTGTGTTGGCTGTGCTGGACCTGCCTTTAGCAGCTGCATTTCTGTGGTCTGTCTGCATGTTCTGCATTAAGCACTGTGTTGTCATTCTTTATGCCCAGTCTTGTCTTTATTCCTTACCACGTGCTATTGGGGTAACACCCACATCAGCCCTGAAGCTCACATGGCAGATGTGTCCAGTAAATAGGGAGTACTGTGTTTTTTGTTTTTGTTTATTTGTTTAGAAAGAGAGTCACTATGTTGCCTAGGTTGGTCTCAAACTCCTGGCCTCAAGCTATCCTCTCACCTGACCCTCCCAAAGTGCTGGGATTACAAGTGTGAGCCACCGTGCCTGGCTTTGCTGTTTTAAAATGAACTTCTTGGCTATTTTCCTTGCTCTGAAGCTGGAGGTCTCTGCCCCTCAGTTCCCCCAGGCCACAGCCATTCCTGCAGGGGATCTCACTGCACTGTGAGGAGGTGGGATCCTCTTAGGCTCCATAGGAAGGTGCATACTTTCTCTCCATAGGAATCTTGTCAATTGGCCTGGCTGCTGCTTACTACAGTGGAGGTAAGACACCCCGACAACCCCCCAATAACTTTCTCAGCTGTTTAGAAAATAGAAGATTGTCAGCACCTCTGCCCTCGACTGAGCACTGTGGTGGATGTCATGTCCCTCTCTGTGCATCAGCGTGTTCTCCATTATGCTCAACCCACACGGCTTGCTTCTCACTTCTTATGTTGCAAGTATTTTCTCAAGTCATAAACTGTTCCTCGAGAGATGTTCTTTAGTATTTGTCTAAGATCCTGCTACAGGGACCAGCCACTCCTCCTAATATCATACTTACTGCAGAAGGGCAGGGGTAGCACAAGCCCCTGCCTGCCTCACTCAGGTGGATTCCTAGAGCAGGGCAGGGCATGTTGTCTGTGGGTCCTGAGTGACCAGGGCAGGACCAGCAGCATAGGGGTCCCTTCTAGGCATGGCAGTCAGCTGGACCCCAGTGCCACTCCTGGCCTCTGACCAGTGTCTGGGGGAGGCAGTATGGGCCTTCTGTGGACCGTTGCCTGGCACTCACAGGCTGCACCCTGTTTGTCTCCAGATAGCCTAGGCTGGAAGCTCTTCTACATCGCAGGCTGCCTGTTTGTGGCTGTGCAGAACTTGGAGGACTGGGAGGTAAGGCTGGTGAGGGGGAAGGCGAGGGGGGGGCGCAGGGGGAGGTGGGTTCAGGGCTGTGGCTGCTTGGCTCCTGGAGTTCTGCAGTGGGAATCAAGGCAGGAAGAAAGGCTCTTGGCAGGGTAGGAGAATACCATCTGAAGTCCTAGCTCCATGGTATCAATTTAGTGGGACTCAGCCTAAACACTGTGACCATTCTTGGGCCAAGAAGTCTCCTGAAGGTGTTTTCTCTCCTCTCAGAAGCTCCTCATGACTGTTTTTCACCTAAATTCTTCATTCTTGGGGTTGCTGTAGTTTGAAAGGGGCTTTCTCTGTGGACAGCTCTCTCCTCCCCCAACCCCTGCCGCCATGAGTCCTTTAAGCCTCCTGGCCCAGTGCTGCTCTCTGTCCTCTGCTGTCTTGTTTGCTGGATTCGGCCATATCCTGTACTTCTGCTTTGCCTACAACAAGCACTTGCCGCACCCGCCCGTTCTCCACTCCCTGATGCCCAGCAGGGGTTCGAGGGGGTGGGACTGTGGACATCCCCTCTGGCACAGCAGCATGTGGGTCTCTAACTGGGAGGGCCCCCTTCTAGATTGTCCTGGTGAGGGTGGGACACCTCCCCGCTGTCCATTCATTCTCCCATTCCTGGAGGCTTATGGTGGTCAGTGTGTGTTGGTTTCTAGGAGGCTGTCTTCAACAAGAGCACTGGGAAGGTCGTGTTGACAACCTTCAGCCTCTACAAGAAGCTGCTGACTCTTTTTCGAGCAGGCCATGACCAAGGTGAGATGTGGGGAGTTTGGGGACATGGGGCATAGGCAGGGCACTGAGGGTGCTTGGAAACATCTTGGGTCCAAGTTTGCCTACTTGGTACCAGGGCTGTGTCCTGTCCCACGAATGTGGGGTCATCCCGGCAGGCACCTGAGTCCTGGAGCCTCCTGGGTTCTGTGGTTTAGCTCATCAGGGGAGGATGGGAGAGAGGAGGTCTGACTCACTGGGCTCTGCCATGCCTCTGTTAGATGGTATTCTCCTACCCTGCCCTGCCCCAGCTGGTCTTCTGGTGGGGTTTAGCAGCTGGGACAGGTCGTGGGGCCAGGTGGGCAGGTGGTATGTGGTTCCCTAATTTCTCCCAAACCTTGGCCCTGCTCCATTTACTGGTGGTTTTGCTGGGCCTGCTAAGGGGTTGGGGTGGTCAGGGAACCCCCACCCTCAAGCCTTTCTTGCACCTGGAACAGGCCCAGCTGTGGTCACACACGTTTCCCATAGATGCTGCCACTCCCACCCACTGGCTGCCATTGGGTGTGTAGTGGTTGTGTGTGCAGCTGTTGTGTTTGCAGCTGTTGTGTGTGTAGCGGCTGTGTGTGCGGCTGTTGTGTGGATGCAAAGGGGCCCCTGGGTGGTGTTTCTCATGAAGTATCAAGCCCTGTGGGCCTGCCATGCACAGCTCCTGAGGGTGGATGAAATGCAGTGGTGCAGAGTTGCTTAACGGTCTTGGATTTGGTGTCATATTTTTGTGCTCTTTATAGGCAGCTTGCTCGGAGATGTGCGGGTGCATTCCAGGGGTGTACACGCAGGGGAGCCACACACCAGCCTCTCCTCTACCTGAAGAGAGCCCTGGGCATCAGTCTCAGTTCCCCGCAGAGACCTGGCCATGGTGTTGGCCCTAAGTCCCTTGTGATTTAGAGAGGATCTGTGGACCTGGCCCTGGGAAGCCTGGCAGGGTTTTTGATGGCTATGCCAGCAGGATGGGGCCACCCTGGCACCTGAAGAGGTGGCATCCCTGAGTCACCACAGGGGGCCAGGAAAAGCATTTTTTTGGCTTTGGGTAAAACTGGGGGAAAGTGAAGCACAACGATGGACAGCCTCGTGCTTGGTGGGTCCCTGATGTTTTAGATGCTCCCAAGACAACCAGCAAGCTGTGTGTGGTGACCTGCCAGTCTGGACACTGAGCACCTTCCCCCACAACCCAGACAACCCTGCGCTGTGGTCAGGGCTGCAGCAGTCCTGGGCCCCAGCTTCAGATGTGAACAGCAAGTGGCCCTGTCACCAGTGCACGTGTGACTGGTGTTGTTGGCAGAAGTGGTAGCCCAAACCAGTCACCTAGCAGCTCAGGTTGTAGGGGGGAGAGGGGATGGCTCAGTTACTGCCCTGTGTCCCTTAGTGGTGGTCCTGCTGAATGACATCCGCGATGTGAATGTGGAGGAAGAGAAGGTCCGCTACTTTGGGAAGGGCTACACAGTGGTGCTCCGGTTTGCGACAGGCTTCTCCCACCCCCTCACCCAGAGTGCTATCATGGGCCACCGCAGGTAAGACTCTGGGACTCTGATCTGGGCAGAACTGCCTGCTTGCATGGCCCTTGGCCCTGTCAGGTGGCCTTTGTTGCTGACTGCCCAATGTTGTGGGGCAACCAGTAGAGTAGACAAGTTTGAAGATGGGATGCAGAAGGGTCCATGGGAAGGGCTTGCAGGCTCAAGGGTGGCCCACCACAGCCACCCACAGGGGAAGCATCAGGTGTGTCTGCTGGGGACAGAATCTGGGTGAGGTCGGGTAAGGGTAGGATGAGGATGGGAAGTGCTAGGGCCCATTTGGGAGCCCTGGGGGCTGCTAGAGGTGGGTATGAAACTGGTGTGGGGTCCTGAGGCTGCCAAGGGGCTGGTGGTGCCCTGTGCTGTGGTGACCTACCCTTTCTCCTGTCCCCCGGCTGCCCAGTGATGTGGAAGCTGTGGCCAAGCTCATCACCAGTTTCCTGGAGCTGCACCGCCTGGAGAGTCCTGCAGAGCTGTCCCAGAGCAGTGACAGTGAGGCCGGTGACTCTGGGAGCCAGAGCTGACCACCTGGGTGTGGCTGCAGATGAGCACTGCCTAGAGAGCCCCTTGGCCTTGGCTTCTGACAGCACCTCCATTTGAATCTGCCTCCTGCTCGCTCACGCCGCTGCTTCTACCCACTGTGCAAAACCATGAAGTGGACCTTCTTCAAGGACCAGGAAGGGCTGGGCAGCGAGTCTGTTGGGGCATGGCTGTCCTGTGAAGGAAGTGCATGGACTGTGGGCTTAGAAATCATTGTGTACCCTGGAATTGGACAGTAGCCCTGGTGAGGGTGCTGGATGCTATGGCCTGGTCTAGACAGACCCACCCACCACCTCTCAAGTGGAAAGGACACTGGGCTTTCTCTAATGTAGGACCTGGACCTGTCCTTCTTGCAGCCAGTTTTACTAGCCCCAGGATGATGCAGGGTTTCATTCAGCCCATAGGTCACAGTGAGACTTCCTCGTGCATGTGGAGACAGCCAGCATTGGGTCAGGACCCATAAGCACTGACGCTGATACGTTGTCGCCAATGTGGCATTCCCTCCCTGGGTAAAGTCTCCAGTGGTCAGGGGCTTCCTTAAGGGCAGTCCTGGATGCTGTGGTGAGAAGTGGACCCAGGACCCACCTGACTGCCCCTTACCCACACTAGGGACATTACTGCACAGACCAGGCTGTGTTCCCATGGACGAGTCCCTCCACTCTGTACCCTCAGCCTAGGCAGAAGCTACCAGCCCAGAAAAAAAGATCAATTCTTCTAGTATCGCACAGTGCCTAAAAACCAGGAGCTCCTCTGCAGAAACCGAGTTCAGCCTCTCTGGAACCTGGAGGGGACCAGACTCTTGGCTGTGCCCCCCATAGGAGCCAAGTGCCAGTTGTCCTGCCCACACCTGACCATGCCTGTGCTCTCAGACTCCTCTCGCGTGGACCCAGGTTCCTCCAAGGTATAGCATGTACTGAGGGTGCCCAACCTGGCCCCAGGCCTGAGCCATGGACTCCTGGTCCCTCCCAGCCCAAAGGCTGCACACCTAAAATGGCCAGGTGGAACCGGAACACCACCACATCATCCAGACACAGGACTCTGAGGCTGCTTCAGGGCCATCACCTGGACCCAGGCAGGGCTGTGATTGTGTCCCACATCAGGCTATACCTCCGCAAGAGCAGACGGAGGAGTGAGATCTTCCTCGGTCATCACTGCCGGCCAGTCCCTGGTTGGGGGTCATGGTCATTTAAACATGCCAAAGAGGATTTTAAACTATTACATCTGAAATGTTTATTACATCCAAAATGAAAAGTGTAAAATGCAGTAATCTGAGGTTTCTGATACATTCACTCATGGGGTACAAGAAGATACGTTAAGTGAGGGAGTGGGAGCCATATGACTGGGTCCCTGGACACCTGGTGCTGCCCTGGCCCTTCCTCCTGCACTGCCTAGGATTGGGCTTATTCCTGAATGTGGGACTGAACCCAGCTGTAAACCAGGGCAGTCAAAAAGTCTCTCAAATTTCCACTAGTGACTTCTAGCTTTCATTGTCCTTTTTATTTCAGAAGAATAAAGTTGTACAAGCAGATCATAACACAGGTCCTGGTGTGCTTTTTCCTTAGGGACTTGCAGGGAGTAAGCAGCAAGCAGACACAGCTGACCCACCTGGGCCAGGTGCCACTCAGGTGAACAGAACAGTGCCTCTAACCCTCGGCAAGAGCCCCAGCCTAGGCATGCGACCTCCCCTCAGGTGTCCTGACCAGCGCCCCAACTGGGGCCAGCAGGCAGGGACTGTGCAGCGGCCACCTCGCTGAGGTCCTGCAGCAGGGCCTGGAGCCGCTGCAAACTCGGGTGCACATTCTCCTCCAGCCACTCTTCCACAGTGTCTGGATAGAAGGCCATCTGCAGGGTGGTCTCCAGCTCTTGCACCAGGGTGCTCCACCGGGCCAGGAGGCTGGGGAAAAGGGTGCCCTGAGCCTCCTGGCAGACCCCGTGACTGCTCACGGTCTGTGCACTCTGCCACAGCCCCTGCTCTGTGCCTCAGTTTACCCATTCATAAAATGGGGCTCTTGGCCCCTTCCTCATTGCATTGTTGGAAGGAATTAAAGCACATTTGTCACTGCTGAACATCTGAGACTGGAGCGCATTTTACAATGAGCTGGCATGGTGTGTCTGGTGGCTTGTGACCCTGTCATATAGTTGGTAGCATCTTGTACTCAGTGGGGGACAGTCTGTCAGTCCCAGTTCACAGCCCTTGCCCTGGCATGAAGGTGATGGCCCACCCTTCTAGAGTAGAAAGACCTAGCTCCTCACTCTATTTAAGGGAGGTGCTAGCAAATGATGGCCTGTATTATTTAGTGAAGAAAGGAGTCAAATTCATCTAAAGTTCCATGGCTGCAACCGTAGTTGCCTTAGTTCACAGCCACCATTACAAGTGCCACCTTTGGCAGAGGACAGGCTGCCCGGAGGTTATGCTGCAGGGTGGGGGACAGGCTGTCCCAGGGCTGTGTCATGTGGTAGAGACCAGTATGCCCTGGAGGCTGTGCTGTGTGGAGACAGACTGCCCTAGGGGCTGTGCCATGTGGTAGGGGACAGTCTGCCCAGGGTTTTTGCTGTGTGGTGGGGGACAGGTGTGCTCTGGGGGCTGTGCTGTGTGATAAGGGACAGGTTACTCAGGGATTATGCAATATGTTGGGGGGCAGGTGTGTCCCGTGCCACGTGGTGAAGGACAGGCTGCCCTGCGGCTGTGCCTTGTGTTAGGGAACAGATGCCCCAGGGAGGGTTACCTGAGCGCCTCTGGCTGGATGTGCTGGATCATGACAGGGTGGATCAGCTTCCGCCTCCGGTGGTAAGGGCTGAACCAGCCACTCACATACCTGTGACAGATCCACAGACAAGTGTGCCTGCTGGCTAATGAGGCAACCTTGGGTGGTTTTACAATAATGGCTCTGGAAAAACGCTTGAGAACTGGATCAAAATTTCTAAAAGTCTTATTCCCCCCAGAAAGTCTTTGTTACAGGAGGAGGCCAGCCTCTTCTCTGTGCCAGTAGCATGGGGCTCTCATATCCGCTACTCACCTGCTCTCCAGGAGTGTGTCCACAGAGCTGCGCAGGTGGAGGCTGATTTGCATGACGAGGTCAAGGATGGCACTGCCAGGGAAGGAGCCGGTGCCCTCCCTGCAGAGAGCTGCTCTGAGAACCACTGTCCCCACAGGAAGGAGGCAGGGCTAGGGCAAGGGGGGCTTACCTCATAGGATCGGTTATTTCCAGGTTTGAAACCCCCAGAAAGTTCTCCACTCTCGATTTAACATCTTCGGCAAACCCGCCTGAAATCAATCACAGGTGGAAGTGACTGGAGGGGCCCCTGCAGGAGAGGAAGAGGCAATGGGGACCTCTAGGCCCTGGGGACATGGGGAGCGGGCACAACAGTGTGGAGAATGCTGACCAGGCCCAGGCTGGCACCTACTGAGCCCAAGGAGACCTCAGGATGGATAAGCCTGCCACTTCTCGCCAAATATACAACATGTTTTCATTATTTTAAAAATTAGAAAATAGCAATAAGAGTGTGTGGCCTCTACTGCTAGACAGAGTCCAACCCATTGGTGTCCAGGGCCCATGCTTGCAATTGTGGTTTGCTTAATGATGGAATATTCTATAGTACCTGAAACAAACCAAGGAGGCCTGCTGGTACCAACATGAACTAACCTCCAAGTTAGTGTATACAAAATACTTGCTGCAAGAAGCTGACATAGGACAGCAGCAGGGAGGGCCCCCCTCCCCCACAGAGGGTGGCTAGAGGGGCGGAGCTTTGGGTGTGGGACATGCTCCCTCTTAGAGAAGCTGGGGCAAACATCACTATGCGAACACATCTCTTCAGTGTGGGGTAAATGAGTGTCTGTATCATTTCTGCACCTTCCTGTATATTCTAAACAGTTCCAAATTAACAATTTTAAAAAGTTTTTAAAAATTTAATCTTATTTTGCATCCTCTTACTTCTGGGCACAACATGGTCCTTGATAAGCCATGGTGCATGTCAGTCCCTGCTTTCCTCAGCATACCCTGATGTCTTTGTATGTCAATGCCATATACATCGCTCTAAGTTCTATATGGTCTCCTGTTCTACACGTGCATAATTTATCCAGTTTCCTCACCATGCCCGCCCTGCTGACTCTAAAGGGGCATGCTCTGTGCCTGTTTCCACCTGTGTGTCCCACTGCTCCCTCAGGTGATCTGGAAGTGGGACTGCTGGGCTCAGGGCCCTCTAGGGAGGCACCCAAGTCCCCACACTTGTCAGGCCAGTGAAACCTGTCTCACTCACATCCCCATCACTGTGTGTTTTCTCTGAAAGGTTAATGGTGTCTGAGGGGAGAGTCCCTCCTAACTCTCTGGCCTGTCTTACTTAGGCTTGAGGAACTGGACACAGGCCCAGCCTGGCCAATGGTGGAGCAAGTGGGAGGCTGAGCTGGGTGAGACCATTCTCCCCCTGTGAGGACAGCCACAGTCCAGGGCACTCAGCACTGGGCTCCTGCAGTTTGGTCTTTCTGGAAGGAGTCAGGGGCTGGGAGGCTGGACAGGACATACCATGTAGAAGTGACTGCAGACAGGCCGCCAGGGATGGGATTCCCACGGGGAGCAGCTCACACAGCACACTGAAGTGGTCGTACCTAAGCTCACGAGAGAGTGGGCTCAGATCCATGGCGGCCCTCTGGCCTGACAGAGCTGCCCTGACTCAGGACATCCCTGCTCCTGTTCTGGGGTTCTAGCTACACCAGTCCCAGGGCAGCCTGGTCCCTTCCACCCATCAACCCAGGGTTCCCAAGTGGATTCTATGTGGTGGGGGTTTCATATCAGGTCTAGAAATGGTATCAAATGGAATGGGTCAGGATTCTTTGCTGTGCTGCTCTCCAGAGTTGTGGGGCCCATGTGTGGGGGCTGCCTTTGGGAGATACTGCCTAGGCCCTAGGCAGCTCAGCCTGGCCCTCACTGTGCACTCTGAGTGGACAACCTGTCACCGTCCCCTCCCCCCAACACCCTGAGTTCTCTGAAGAAAGGGCTCCTTTTGCCTCCAGGGATTGCCTGATGACCCTCTAGCGTCTCTGAACCCCTGCTGTCCTACCTTCTCCCTTAGCTTCCTCACATCTGGCCGGCTAGGGTGGTTGCTTTTTCCCATGGCCTCATGAGGAAGATGAGAGGTTGGACCTCAAGGGCAACAGCTCAGGGCAATGTCTGTCCAGTGAAGTCTGAGGGGGGCTCGGCCTGGCCCCAGGGTGGGGATATAGGCTCCCCACTGCTTGGCAGTGCACCTCACCTGCCCATGTCTCAATTTCCTTAGCTGTAAGTGAAGTGGAAACATACACTGCCCCAGGATGAGCACAGGCAAAGGCTCAGGATGCCTGAGATCACTCCCGGGAGGCCCTCCTGAGAGTGGAGGAGCTCAACTCTGCCTGGACAGTCCTGGTTTAATCTAGACTCAGATTTACCCTGTGCCAGCTTGGTGGATGCTCCAGGAATTGGAATGGTATGATAGGACATGGGAGCCTTCTAGAAGCTTCTGCAGAGCTGGCTGCTGCTTCAGGACATGTGCAGCAGGCTGTGAGCTGAACTGTGCACTTGCTGCAGGCCGGTCAGTCACTCTTGGACACACCCAGGGTGCCCACCCTGTGGTCCTCACCTTGAAATTCTCAAGGGTTCCATCTGAGTCTGAGCTTCCTGAGGTTGGGGACAGGGTCACACACACAGGGCCCTGCTCCAGGGGCTTGACTGGTGAGTCTGCCCTGCCCCTGTGCCTGAGCCATCTGGCCCCACCCCAACTTGAGACAGGATTGAGTTCAGGACTGACCAAGGGTTTACTCATAGCTCTTCTTTTTAAAGGATGTGAAATCTTGTAAGAGCCAAAATTAAGATTCCTCCTCACACCTTCCATAGGAGACACAGACATGTGTGGCACACACAAGTGGTGTGGGGCTGGGGGCACATACTTGTGGCCCTGAACAGTGTCCTCTCAGTGGCTGCAGAGGTATGAGGGCTCAATGCCAAATGGCTGTGTCCTGCAGCTTTTTCTCGGAGGCCTGAGTGGGTCCCCCTGGACTCTCTCAGGACGAGTGGCCAGGGCTTACCTTTGCCAGCCAGTCAGGATGATGCCCTGCAGTGAGTCCGCAGGCCCACTGCTCGCCACCTGCAGCCACTGCGCCTGGTTCCTGAGGTGGAGCCCGATGGGGGGCAGGGCCTGGCTGGCCCCTGTGGCACCCTTGAAGGCACTGGCTGCCCACAGCCGCAGGAAGCCACACTCCCGAAACTTCTGCACGAGGAGCACTGAGTGAGAAAGCAAGCAGGTGAGTGTACCTGTGGAGGTGCCACCACACCTGGACACACGTCCCTGGACCATGTGTCCCTGAGCCATGCGCTTGTCCAGGCCCAACACATGAACCACCATGTCTGCTTGGATCCACAGGAGGAGACCCCAGCAGTTTCTAAGGAGCCCTCATCTACCTGCTCACTAAGAAACACCCCAGAGCACAGTGGGGAGGAGGCTCTCACAGGGTGGGCGTCCTGGGCTTGGGGTGCCACAGGGTGGAGTTGGGCCCTGGCTTCCCACAGACAGGTGGGCCCTGGCTTCCCACAGACCCCAGGCTGGGTCGCTGGGGTTGTGGGTCAGGGGAGCCTGACCACCCTGTCTAAGATGTGACCAACAGTGTCCCCTTTTGCCCCGGCATCTTGGTACTGACCCTTGCTGTGCACATCCAGGTCAGCTGCATAGTCCCAGAGCACCAGCTCCACCAGCTGTGGCAGCCCCGATGCTGTGGACGAAGCAACCAAGAAACCATGAGTGCTGGTAAGATCTGTCCACACCACCTCCCCCAATCCCTTGACCTACTGGATGTGCATTAAAGTGGGAGTGTAAACTACCTTTTTAGGACAGCCTCAGCTCTGTTATACACAACCACATACAGCTCCTATTCAAAGCTGGCCTGAATGGAATGACCATGCTCTTGCTGTCCATCTGCTGGCTGCTCTACAAGGTCACTAGCCCCACATGCCCCTGGAACACACCACTAAATGGAGTTAATTTGAATGAGTCTTTTTATTTTTTGAGTTGGGGTCTCATTTGGTCACCCAGATTGGAGTGCAGCACCACGCTCACAGCTTACCACAGCTGCAACTTCCTGGGCTCAGGTGATCTTTCCATCTCATCCTACTGAGGAGCTGGGACTACACGTGCATGACACCATACCAGACTAATTTTTAAATATTTTTATCAGATGAGGTCTCACTATGTTCCCTAGGCTGATCTCAAACTCCTGGGTTCAAGCAATCCTCCTACCTTGGCCTCTCAAAGTGCTGGGATTATAGGCATGAGCCACCGTGCCAGCCCAATTCTAATTTTTCTTAATCTAATTTAGCCACATGTGGGTGGTGGCTGCCAGAACAGCAAGGCCCTAAGACATGCGAGACTCACAGAAGCAGGAATGGCAATGGCCGGCACTGCATCTGGGTTCTGCTGTGTGTATTTGAGCACCACCTTTCAACCTGGGAGGAGATCATCTGCTCATCCCCAAGCCCCAGCTTTGGGCAGGTCCCTGGGGCTGGAAGACCAGGGCTGTCCTGGAGGAGGCTGCTGGAAGACAGGACACTCACACACCTGTGGCTGCTGTCCTCCAGCTCAAGCCTATCACTCCTACCAAGACTACCATGACTTCTAGGAGCATGATTTAGACCTGGCATTTTCATGTGAGGACATGTAAAGTAGCCATATGGAGCCATGTGGAGTTGGAAGCTTACTTCAGGGCCCACTTCCTGTAGCACATTTCTGAAATTGGAGGTCTCAGGAAAGTAAGTGAACCCCTCCTCCCACCACAAGGCCCCGCGGCAGACCTGCCAGCTGGTCCTGGGGCAGGTCCCGTAGCATGTCATCCCATACCAGGGGTGTTGTGCCAGGGTGCCGGGCCAGCACGCGGCTGGCCACCGCCCTCATGTGGGACAGACACAGCTTTGCTTTGCTGTTCTGCTCCTGTTGCAGCCACTGTCTTGAGGCCTCACCCTCTCCTAGGTAGTAGACCTGGAAGAGACAAGACAGGGATGCCTCTGCACTGCCCACCTGTGCTGTGGACACAGGTGGAAGAGCCCAGCAGTTCGTCTGTGTCTCAAATCTCAGGGTAGTTGTCTGTAGGGAGGATGTCTGGGAGGAGCTCAGGGGCCCCCCAGGGGTGACCCTGTCTTCTTTCCTGGGATGTAAACTTCCACTCAGCTCGAATGTCCACAAGCAGCTCTTTTCACAACTGCCAAAAGGTGGAAACTGGTGTCCATCAACATATGATGGACACAAGGTGGTCCATCCATACAGTGGAATGTTAGTCAGCCTTAGAGAAGAAGGAAGCTCTGACACATGCTACAGCATGGACAGACACTAGAAACCTTATGTGAGTGAAAGACACCAGACATACTGTCACACAGTGTCAGAACAGGCAACTCCATTGAGACAGAAAGCAGGTTAGTGGCTGCTGGGGCAGCAGGTGGGGAAGGGACATGGGACTTCTGTTTGGGGAGGCAAAAGGGCTCTGGAGCTAAATAGTGGTGATGGTCACAGCATTGTGAATGTACTGAGAAGATGCTGAAGTAAATACTTTAACATAGTTACAGTGGTAACCTTCAACAAAAGCCTCTGGGGTTAAAATGTCTACAAAGCCGGGTCTTATATCAGTCCATCTGAGTCACAGGCCAGGAGGGCCTCCAGGCACCAGGCTTCCCACCCCAGCCTTGGAACTCAGAGTCCTCCTCAGACTTTTCTGCACTGAAGTTCAAATAAGTGAAACAGGGTGGGTGAGAGGTAGGTCTGAGGGACTGGAGAGGCGATACATCAGTGCCAACCTTGGGGACTATCTTTCCCAGCTGTGCTTGAGTATCCAAAAGTAGTACTTCCTTGCTTGCACCAATGAAATGCATCGCGACAGCTGGAACAAGGTAACACACTCAGATTCAGGCAACCCAGTTCCAAGGGCATGTACCTGCCCATCACTGGGTGAGCTCTGCCTCTGCTGGGGATGCATCACGGCCACTTCTGCTCTGTCATCAGGGTGTTCTTGTCTGACCTTGAGGTGCCTCAATCGGACCTCCAGGTTTGCCCCAGGCCAGGTCATGCATCCTCCGGGAGAAGGTGCTAGAACAGGCTCCCTAATGGGGACTCTCTCCTTGGCAAGCCCTATTTTGTTCTTTGTTACTTGGACTATTTTTATTTTCTTTCTTTTGTTTTTGGTTTTTTTTTAAGTCAATGTCTCACTCTGTTTTTCAGGTTGAAGTGCAGTGGCACAATCATGGCTTACCACAGCCTTGACCTCCTGGGCTCAGGCAATCCTTCCACCTCAGCCTCCTGAGTAGTACAGACTACAGGTGTGTGCCACTGTGCCAGGCTAATTTTTTTGATATGTTGCCCAGGCTGGTCTCTAACTCCTGGCCTCAAGGGACCCTCCCACCTAAAACTCCTGGGATTACATGCATGAGTTACTGCGCTGGGTCTTATTTTCTATTTAAAAGGAGAAACCATGACATAGGTGAAGGTGACCTGGAAGTCAAGAGAGGGAACTGCTGTGCAAGTGGGGATGGAGGTACCCACCTCATCACACCCGACATGGAGCCGCTGGGTGCCTGGGTGCTGCTCTAGGATCTGGTCAATCATGGCGCCCACCAGTGCCAGGGACTCTGCCTCATGGGGGTTCAGTGTGTTGGGGAAGGCTGCCACCTCCCGGAGATGGGCGAATGCAGCGTGCTTCAGCACAAACTGTGGAGAAACACCATGAGCTGGTGACGCTGGGCAGGAAGAAGCAGGTGCCAGGCTCCTCCGCACACCTGGGACTTCTCTGTTCAAATACCTATCTCTGCTCTCAGTCAGCCCAGATAGGCCGAGAGGCCTGAGCTGCTTATCCCTGACTCCCCAGAAAGGCTCCAGCCAAGCCAAGATCCAGGACCCCAAAGGAGCAGCACCTTTGGAACCTGTCTCCAGTTGGGTCTGAGCCATCCAGTTGGTTACTCGTGGGCCCTTCTCATTCCAGTGGGTAAGAGATGGAGCTGTGCAAAGCCAGACTCTACCCACACCCAGAATGACAGGCTGCTCTCAGAGCTCCTGGGCTCTGTGGCATGAAAAGGTTGACAACTCTTCTCCCCCTAAAACAGTGCAAAAAATGGAACAATCTGTGCAGACAGCCATTCAGAACTCTGAACATCAACCAAAGGCGAACAACAAACTGAGAAACGTTTCTTCATTAAAGACTGCTGTAACTTTGCGTAAGAATAGAGACTTTGCGGCCTTCTGGCCTAGGGTTGCTTGTTGTCCACTTCCCCCATAAACCACAGCTTTGCTGCCAGAGGGACAGACTTGACTTGGGCTGAGTTAAAAACCCACCCTATCAGGGGCATTGTCAGTAAAAGTTTCAAATGTAGGAAACAAGTGGAGAAAATGCCTCATCCTCTTCTAGCCAGTTGGTGTGGCGCCTGCTGGGGCAAGGTGCAACTGGCTGGAGATTTAATGGGTGACCCTGGAAAAAGAGAGCAAGAGGGTGCCTGTACACCTGGCTGATGGGAGGCCACACAAATGTGGGGGCACCTGAGAGCTGGATGAGAACTGGCTGAACCTGGGGTTGCCCACCACCCCCCAGCCCTGTGGCAAGGGGTAGAAGCCTGTGGGGTCTGCTCAAACCTTTGGCTGACCACCAGCTATGAAGACAGAGGTATGACCACCAGCAGGAAGTCAAGCTAAAATATAAAAATAAGAATAAAAAAGCTCAGCAGTGGCCACACACAGCTAGAGAGACAAGTCCTACAGATTAAGTACAGACAACTTGTTAGAAAACAAAAAATAACTACTACCACCACTGCCTGGTGGAGAAGAAAATAAAAATTAGATTTGATGACATGTATTATTTGAAATGTCCAGTTCTCAATTAAAAATTATGAAATGTGCAAATAAACTAGAAAGTGGAACCCACTCAGGAAAAACTTGGTCAATAGATCCTGATTCTGAGTAGGCCCACATGTAGAATTTGTCATACAAATGTTTCAAAGAAATTACAATAAATATGTTCTAAAAATTATAGGAAAGTAATTACAATAATGGAAATGAAAGCTCCATTTGATGGGTTCAACAGCAAATTTGAAATGTCAGAAGAATCTGATAGTGACAATAGAACAACAAAAATGATCCAAATGATCCAGAAAAAAGATGGAAGAAAAATGAACAAAGCCTCAGAGACCTATGGGACATCAAGTACACCAAATACATGCAACAGGAGACCTAGAAGGAAAGAAAGAAGGGGACAGAGAAAACCCCTGAAGAAATGGTCAACACAGAGAAACCCTGAAGAAATGGTCAACACAGAGAAAACCCCTGAAGAAATGGCCAAAAATGTCACAGAAGAGGTAAAAATCAGTAATCTACAGCTTTATGCTCAACAAACCCAAGTAGGATAAGAAATCCACAGCTAGACACATCATAACCAAACTGCTAAACAGCAAATACAATAGAAGATCCTGAAAGCATCAAGAACACAAACAACACATTCTGGGCAATAAGACCAAAATTAATGACTGACATACTATATTTGTGGAATGGAAATATAGGTAAGAGGTAATTTTCTCCCTAATTGATTTACATTTTTTTTTCCCTGAGTCAGAGTCTTACTCTGTCGCCCAAGCTGAAGTGCAGTGGTACACTCACGGCCACCACAGCCTCAACCTTCTGGGCTCAAGTAATCTTTCCTCCTCAGTCTTCCAAGTAGCTGGAATCACAGGCACGTGCCACCACGCCTGGCTAATTTTTTGATATACTGTAGAGAAAGGTTTCACCAAGTTGCCCAAGCTGGTCTCAAACCCCTGGATTCAAGCAATGCTTTCACCTCTGCCTCCCAAAGTGCTGGGTTTACAGGCATGAACCACCATGCCCTGCTTGATTTACATATTTAATGCTACTTCAATCAAAATCTCAGCAAGGTTTTTGTCCATATACAGACACACCAAATCTAAAATACGGATGAATAGGCCAAGTAATTTTGAAAAAAAGGATAAAGTTGGAAGAATCATACTACCTAATTTTAAGACTTATAGGAAATCTATAATATTCAAGATAATGTGATCTTAGCAGAGGGAAGACCACAGATCGATGGAACAGAACAGTCTAGAAACAGACCCTCACAAATATGGTCAATGGATTTTTGACAAAGGTGCAAAGGCCATTCCAAGAGGAAAGGATAGTCTTTTCAAATGGTTTGAAACAGCTAGTCATCTCAAGAGGTTACATACTATATGCAAAAAAAAGTGAACCTCAACCTAAGCTTCACACCTTGTAGAAGAATTAACTCAAAATGAACCACAGATTTAAATGAAAAATGTGCAAGAGTAAAACTTTAGAAGAAAACACAGGAAAAATCTTCATGATCTGGTGACTGGCAAAGATTTCTTAGAAATGACATCAAACGCATTCAAGTTATGCACTGGGACAAAATATTTGCAAATCACATATGTAACAGAGGACTTATATTCAGAATATATAAAGAACTTTAAAAACTTAACAGTCACGCCAAAAAAAAAAAATAGGCAAAAACACTTGAACAGTTATTTCACCAAAGAGGATATGCTAGTGGCAAAGAAATAAATGTAGAGGTCTTTGTCCATTAGAAGCCAATCCTGACAACACCTTCATTTTGGATGTCAAGCCTCCAGAGATGAGAGACGCATTTCTGTTGTTTTAAGCCACCTGGTTTGTGGTGATTTCTTATGTCCTGAGAGTAGAGCCCTACAAGGAGGGTGGGGAATAAAGGAGTCAGAGTGGCGCTTTGACTTGCTGCAGTGGAGAGGACTAGAGGAGTCAGAGTGGACCCAGAAGACATGTCAGATGGGCTTCATAGTGAGTTTAGACAAGGGTGGGGCCATCAGAATGGAGGAGGAGCAGGAGCAGCAGGACCTAATGTGGGCTGGAAACACAGTCGGTGGGTGTGGCTGGTCTGTTTCTGGTTTGCACACCTGAGGCTGGAAGATACCCCTTGATGGAGACACCGTGCAGGTGGTCTGGAACCCAGGTCTGGAGTCACTGAGGTGCAGACAGGAAGAGGAAATGGTATTGTCTAGAGAAAGAGTAGGAAGAGGAAAGAGGAGCCCAGAGGAGCCCTGGGGACTGCCAAGCCACAGCACCTACAGGGAAACAACCGTGGATGGATACCGAGGAGGTGCAACCAGAGGCTGGGGGAAATCAAGAGAGTGTGGGGTTCAGGCGGAGGGAGTTGCTTGTGATGCCAGAAGCTATGGAGGAGTCAAGTGGGAGAGGGCTAAGACCTGTCCCTTGATTCAGTGACACAAAGGACATCAGTGGCCTCAGGAGATGTTTTGTGGTGCAGTGGTAGTAAGCAGGAAGCACCAACTTCAGAGAATCCAGAGTCATGAGAGAGCCCCAGAAGACATGCCCACTTGCTTCTAAGTGAAATGGCCTTCTTTATATAAATAAAAACAAGAATGGAAGAATTGTTGATAAATCTCATCAGTGAATCTGTTACAGGAACAAACAAAACCTAAGAGCCAGTAAATTAATGTTGTGTTTAATTTATTCCCATTTTTTGATGCAGATATGAAAAATATTTTTGAAGATCATATAGGGGTTTAGGAAAGTATTTTCAAAATTAAAGTGAGAAAAAGATACAAATAGGAAATAAAGCCTCTTTTCTTTCCTTTTTTTCCCCTTGAGTTGCAGCCCCACTCTGTTGTCCAGGTTGAAGTGCAGCAGCATGATCACAGCTCACTACAATCTTGACCTCCCAGGCTCAGGTGATCCTTCTGCCTCAACCTCCCGGATAGCTGGGACTACAGGAGCACGCCACCATGCCCAGCTAATTTTTTTAATTTTTTAAATTTATTTTTGTGGAGATGAGGTCTTGCTATGTTGCCTCAAACTCCTGGGCTCAAGTAATCTTCCTGCTTCAACCTCCCAAAGTGCTGGAATTACAGGCATGAGCCACCATGCCTTATATTTTACTTTACACAATATGTTGATGAATACAAATAAAAAAGGAAAGCCCAGCAGACACCCAGGGTCCCCCTTTCTGGTCCTTTTCCTCCATTCCCCTGTCATTCCCCAGTCATGTGTATTCTAGCCATCAGAAGGGCAGGGGCCTCTGAGAGCAAAGGCCTCTCTCTAAGCTGTGGCTGCCTGCACCCCTTCAGGCCTCGCTTTGCCTGCATCTGATACCCCATACCTGGCACCAGGTATCTTCCAATCCTGCCACTCACCTCCATGTGTCCAAATGTCTGCACTAAGGGAATCACCTCCAGCTCGTTCAGTCTGGCCAGATGCAGTATCTCTTTGATTTCAGAGGGGCTAGAGAGACAAGTATCATGCAGAGGGTTACACCATTGTGGTCAGAAAGCTGTTCCACATTCCCCAACCCTTGCCCATCAGGCACCAGAGGGCTCTCCTAGAAAGTGGTGAGACCACTAACTCTGCAAAGTTCAACAGGTGTTCTAGTTTCCAGGAAGACACATGCTCTAGAATTTGGGAAAATGATGCTCTATCACATCCTCAAGTAACTGAGTGCTTTTCCTCTGCTATTCTTAAACAAACTCTACAGAGGATGAAGTTCTCTGCATTTTACAGGAAACTGAGCTACACAGGGACTCACACTCCAGAGCATGCTGGCCCAAGGGCAGACCATCTGGCACCTGGTTTTGTTTAGCCCTCGACCTATGAACAGGTCCCGGAGGCTGATGTTCCACTCCAGGAGGGTCACATCCTGGGAAGGGCTGACTGCTCAATGTCTTCATTTTTCACAAGCCATCATGAGGTGTCATTTCTACTTTTTGTATGTGTTTGAACCATTTCTTAGGTTAATCAGTTCTATAAATTTACTAATTATATAAAATTGTCTTTAAATATACCTGTTTTAAGTTTCAAGGAACCTTGGTACTTTTTTCCCTTCAAAAGACAAAGAGGGGTCAGGTGCGGTGGCTCATGCCTATAATCTAGCACTTTAGGAGGCTAAGGTGGGAGGATTGCCTGAACCCAGGAGTTTGATCTTATCTCTACAAAAAAAAAAAAAAAAAAATTTAGCCCAGCATGGTGACGCATGCTTGTAGTCTTGGCTACTTAGGAGGCTGAGGTGGAAGGATCATTCAAGTCCAGGAGTTCAAGGCTGCAGTGAGCCATGATCTGACTGTACCACTGCACTTCATCCTGGGCAACAAAGTAAGACTGACTCAAAACAAAAATAAAGAAACAAATTGCATGTGGTGGCTCAAGCCTGTAATTCTAGCACTTTGGGAGGCTGAGATAAGAGGATTGTCTGAGCCCACGGGTTTGAGATCAGCCTGGGCAACTTGGCGAGACCTCATCTCTACAATAAACCAAAAAATTAGCCAGGCTACATGGTAGCGTATGCCTGTAATTCTGGCTACTTGGAAGGCTGAGGCAAAAGGATTGCCTGAGCCCAGCAGGTCGACGCTAGGGTGGCTGTGAGTATGCCACTGCACTCTACTCTGGGTGATGGAATGAGACTCCAACTCAAAAAAAAAAAAAGAAACAAAGAAACATATTCATTGTAGGAAGAAAAATAGAAGTGTATGAAGAAAATGCAAACCTCTAACAATCTAATCACAGGCTATTGCCCTGGTGTGCCTTTCCTGTTTTCTGGTCTAACCACCTGTGGGGTGCATGGAGTACACACATTTTGGATTGTTGACACATGGAGTCAAACATCTTCTACAACAGTGGCCACTTTATATCCAGCAGGCAGTCTGATTTTTCTTATCCTCAAGAACACAGAGGACTACATTTTTTAAAAGCCTCACCAATTTGTTAGCAAGAATGGCATTGTATTACTTTAATTTCTTTGATTCCTGTGAGGTTTAAACATTTTCTTACATGCTTATTGTTCATTTTTATATCTTCCTTTGGGATCTGCCAGTTAATGCCCTTTGCCTGTTTTTCTTTTGGGCTATTCATTATTGACTCATACAGAGACCTATAATTTGAAAGCTGGGCAGGTGCCCCTCATCTCCACCACATCTGGTTTTACTGATTTTGTCTTCTTCCCTTTAATCTTCACTTCTCCAACTCGAAACCCCAAATGTGGCCTTAAAGATCAACCCCTTCTCCATATGGTTCCCTCCCTGCATGGAAGCCTGTCTTCATTCTTGAGCACTTCATATCCACAGAGGAAATGCCTGCAAGACTAAGACTTGAATCAACTTTTCCTTTGGGGGTCACAGCTGGTGCATTTCATTTCATTTTATGAGATAGGGTTTCGATCTATTGCCCAGGCTGGAGTACAGTGGCACGATCATACTTCACTGCAGCCTCCAACTCCTGGGCTCAAGTGATCCTCTCCACCTCAGCCTTCTGAGTAGCTAGGACTAAGAGGCAGGCCACTATACCTGGCTAATTTAAAAAACAATTTTTTTTTGGTAGAGATGGGGTCTCACTATGTTGCCCAAGCTGGTCTCAAATTCCTGGCCTCAAGCAATCCTCCCATTTCAGCCTCCCAAAGCTCTGGGATTACAGGCATGGGCTACTTACTATACCCGGCCCCCTTTCTCTTTTAAATGTTTCCAAATTCTCTTCAATGAACATGTTTTCGTTTTATAATTAACTTTAATTTTTCTTTATTTTAAACATGTGGGGTACAATTCAAGGTTAGGTATACAAATGTTCATTGTGCAGGTACCCTTGTTGATGAGGTGTGCCCCTCTCTCCCTTGGCAGTTTCTCTCAACTGCCAATCCCAACCCCCCTCCCCTGGCAATTTCCCACTACTGTCAATCCCTTTCTTATAGTATTTATGATTATAGTTAATTTTCATAAAGATGTATATAAAAAGACAGAAAAGGAGCGTACCCACCATGTTAAACTCCTGACTGTCCCCCCACATCTCTAGGTTGCCACCTCCTGCCTGCAGAGCCCCACTTCTCCGAGGCAGCAGGTGTTACCTGTAAGCATGCCTGGCCCGCAGCAGCCGCAGAGGGCCATCATAAGGAAACATGTCTTCATACTCAATGAGGAGGCCGTTTGCACCTAGAGCACGGAACAGAGGAAAAATCTGGGGGGAAGACAGGGGGGAGTTATGAAGAAGTGATCATCTGAATACAAAGTGTCATGTATACACTGTGGAGACACTGTCCTTTTTAGCCTGCGGAGATGAATGGGAGTTAATATTCATATTTTTCCCGAGAACTTTAAACCTGGAAGGTTTACTGTATATCATGCCAAATCAAACGCTCTCCTAGTGACATGACTATTCCGCACAGGAACAGTCTATGTTCTAAAACAGCTGCTACAATATAGGTCATCTCTAGGGGCTTAGCTGGGGAGTGACAGCTCAGGTCAAGAGAGTTCTTCAGAGCAGTTCCTTACACAGACAGAATACAGCACAGAGGAGCCATGGAGAAGCCAAGCTAGACACACTTCTAAGGCAGGAGGGCAGGAGGAGTTGGGGGGTGGGCAGCAGGGCTCAGAGAGTTAGGGGCCAGTGCCAGGGGAGGGTAGGGAGAGATGGGGGCTGGAGAGGCAATGGAACTCCTCTGTACCTGCACTGTGCTCACAGGGTCCCTTCTCCTCACACTCCTCCCACTTCCTTCTCCACCTTTATTTCAAAGGATAGAAAGTTCCCTATTCTCAAGGATTTTTAGGACCAGTTCATGTCTACGAAACAGAACAACTGAGATTATCTTCTAGTTTGGCATCAAACTAGGATAATGGCATTATGGTTTGTTTGGTTTCAGGGGGCTAAAAAAAAATAGCTCAATGTTGGCACTAACTCAGAGGACTATGTGGATATTCAAAATAGTCCCCAATTGCAGATATGGACATGTTTTCAATGATTTGTAACATCCTTTTGTTAATATTACTGTCAAACTTTTCTTTCCCTCCAAAACAGGAAAGTTCTGATGCATGCTAAATGGAAAGAAGTCAGTCTAGGACTAAAAATTAGCTCTAAATAATTCATAAATGGGTAATCATTTGCATTCTGCAAACCAATAAAAGGCAGACTGACTAGGCAGACTGACTATGAAAAGAAGTTATTTAACCTGAGTAGGGCACATCTGGATAAAAGAGACAACAGCATTTTCCTATTTTCCTTAGTGTTTTTGCTTCTGGTTTCCCTTTTAGCCTCCCATGGCCATGTGACCTCTGTGCAGCCTACGTGGCAGCCTGTCATTGTGGGTGGTAAGGATCCTTTGTGTGTAAGCATGTGAGAAGCTGCTAACCCACAGGCTTGGAGAGACTCACAGACACACGTGATTTCCCACATCCGGCACTGAAATGGGGCAGAGGTTTTTACTATGAAACGTACAAACATACACCTACGTGGAGAAATCACACAGTGAACCCCTGTGCACCCATCATTGAGATTCAATAATTGTCAACATTTTGCCTATTTTGTTTTGCCTAATTTCTATGTTTTTTTTTTTTGCTGGAGTACTTTAAAACAAATCCCAGACAATGTATCTTCCCACCTGTAAATGCTTCAATATACTAGGAGATAAAGACTTAAAAAAAACCCAAACAAACTATAATTCCATTATCCTACTAATCAAATTAGTAATAGTTCCTTGATATCATTCAAATACAGGCATGTGCCACCACACCCAGCTTATTTTTTTATTTATTGTAGAGACAAGGTCTCACCATGTTGCCCAGGCTGGTCTCGAAACCCACAATCCTTTCACCTCACCCTCCCAAAGTGCTGGGATTACAGGTGTGAGCCACCATGGCCAGCTCCCTCTGCTTTTTAAAAGTTTTTAAAATTTGTGAGTCAGAATTTCACCCCATCTCCAAGGTTGGAGTATAGTAGCATGATCATTGCTCACCACAGCCTTGACTTCTTGGGCTCAGGCGATCTTTCCACTTCAGCCTCCTGAGTAGCTTGGACTACAGGTGCATACCACCATGCCAGGCATTTTTTTTTTTTTTTTGTAGGGACTAAGTCTCGCTATGTTGCCCAGGCTGGTCTCGAACTCCTGGCCTCATTCAACTACAGGCATGTGCCACCACACCCAGCTAATTTTTTTTATTTATTATAGAGACAAGGTCTTGCCATGTTGCCCAGGCTAGTTTCGAACCCGCAATCCTCTCACCTCAGCCTCCCAAAGTGCTGGTGAGCAATGATCGTGCTACTGTACTCCCCTCCTAGGGGAGGGAGGGGCGCACCTCATCAACAAGGGTACCTGCATAATGAACATTTGTATACCTAACCCTGAATTGTACCCCACATCTTAAAAAAAAAACAACCAAAACCAAAACCAAAAAACTCAAAATTATGGATCTAACTGATTGCATTCTCAAGATGTCCACTAGCATGTCTGCCCATTTTCCTGCATGCTAGTAGATAGGAAGGCGTGATTAGATTAAAGTTTTGTTCTTTTGGCAAGAATACTTCATAGTTGGCTATCTAGACACAAGTCTGGCTGTCCCACTGCATTCTTGTTGGCTTTATCAGTGGGTTCAGGTGGCAGTAGCCAAAACCATTCCATGGTCCTTCTTCCCAAAGGCTTCCACAACCTCCTATCATTACTGCCTCATTAGTATTTCACTAGGAGTTGCAGGTGCTGACTTTCAAACTATCATCCTTTCTGTGTCTACTGGCTAGAATTTTTAAGGAAGAATTTAGTGAATTCATTCAATTCTTGAATGTTTGTAACAATTGGTCTGTGGCTTTTACATTAGAGGGTTGATTTGACTGGAAAAAATATCCTTACAGCCTACCTCCTTGAGTATCTTAAATCTGTTATTTCCTGTCTTGTCATAAAATGTTGCTACCAAAATGTCTGATGCCAATACAATTTTCTTTCCCTTATATATGACTTGAAGCTTTTTTTCTGTATTCCCAAGAGTTTTAAAGTTTTTATTTTCCTTACAGTCTAAGTTTACATCTTGGTGTATATCATCCCAGATAAATGTTTCCAGGTATATGGTATGCACTTTTTTTTTTTTTGAGTTGGAGTCTCACTCTGTCACCCAGACTGGAGTGCAGTGGCCGCTCCCGGCCACCGCAGCCTCAACCTGCTGGGCTCCAGCGATCCTTCCACCTCAGCCTTCCAAGGAGCTGGAATTATAGGCGCGCACTACCATGCCCGTCTATGCACTTTCAATAAGTAGACTCAAGAACGGATTTTTGTTTCTTAGTATTTGTTCTATACCATCATTTTAGTTCTCTTCCTTGGGGATTGTTGAAAATGGAAAACCAGGGCCACAGGATTTTGCAGCTCTCCCACCCTTGAATCTAGACTGGCTTTGGGATTTGCTTTCCCAGTGGTAAGAGGCAGCAAGGACACTGTGTAGGTTGCAGAGCCTGAGCCTTGAGAAGTCTTGCAGCACTGCTCTGAAACTGCCACACTGAAAGAAAGCTGGCCTGGCCTCCTAGGGAACACACACGGAGGAGAACTGAGGTGTCCTGCTAATAGGACAAACTGCCAGATATGTAAAGTCACCTGGGACCATCGGGTGTTTCTAGTAATCATGATCACATGAGGGATCCCAGGTCAGGGAAGCAGAATCACCCAACCAACCCACAGGAACATGAGGGGAATGAATTATTATCAAGTTATCTAAGTTTGGGGTGATCTGTCATGCAGCAGCAAACAACTGAGTAGGGACTCCATTTACATGTAAGTGGGATCTTCTTTGCCTATTTTCTGTATCTATCAATTTGTCAATGCTTTTTCATTTCTTCATGTTTGAATTTTGCCTATCATTTATTTACAAATACAATACTTTCCATGGTGCCTATTCACTTTTGTGCTTTTTCTAGTTTAGTCTTAATTAAAATAAGTATATTTTCTTTATAATTCATTCCTGACTTCCATTAGGCAATCTTTTCACATCCTCCTTTTGTCTAGTTATCATTAGATAACTGAGTCACTCTATTTCTGATTTATGCTATTCTTTCATAGCTGCTGTCATTTTCTTAATAATCTTTTATCTCATTTTGAAATATTTTGGTACCATGTCATCTCCTTTGTGGTACTATGTTTCTGGTTCCCCTTCACTGCTGCAGTGCTAATCTCATCATTAACTTCTTTTCTCTGACATATCTTTGTGTGATATTTAACAATATTCCTTTTCTGTTGCTCATTTTTAAGAACAGGTTTTTGTGTTTGGGATGGAGACTGGCTAACCCCAGGGCCCTTCCTGTACTGTTGCCATAAAGTATTAGAAGTTACAGGTTCTGTGTAGCTACCTTTGCTGTATTTTATTTCTGCCTCCTCTGGAACCTTTTCCTCCAGTATCAGAACGTTTTTTCCCCTTTACCTTCAGTGTTCCTGCCAGTTCAATGCAGATTCTTTCCCCCACATTTTGTCATCATTATTGGACTCTGTCTCTCTGTAAAGAAGCTTTGTTAGGGATTTTTGAGAACCTGTGGCCTTGGGCCTCCACTGTACCCTCTTTCAAGTCTCTCTGCATTCACCCTCAAACTAGAGCATGTAAAGTTTTTCCCCAGTTTCTTGCTATGGGATACCTTTACTTTTAAGGTTATTTTCTAGGTCTTCTGGTTTTGGTACTGTTGGAATTCCCTTCTCTTTCCTCTACCACCTTCTGATTGGCTGCCAACCCCACATGGGTGCTATTCTGTCTGTCGTTTGGCCCCAGACGACAGACCTGTATTTTGGAATCCATAGGGATGCCCTGACAGCTAGTTTTATTAAAGAGTGCATTAGTTTTCTACGGTTGCTGTAAGAAATGACCATAAACTTGTGGCTTAGAACCACATGAATTTATTCTCTCATAGTTCTGGAGGCCAGAAGTCCAAAATTCAAGTGTTGGCAGGCCCATGCTTTCTCTGAAGGCTCTAGAGGAGAATTCTTCTTTGCTTCTTTCTTGCTTCTGGTGACTGCTAGCAATCCTTGGCTGGGAATGCATGATTCCAATCTCTGCCTTCACCATCACATGCTGTCCTCCTATGCATCTCCACTCCACTGTCTTCCCACTGTGTATGTCTTTGTATCTAAATTCCCCTCTCCTTTAAGTACATCAGCCATTGGATTAGGGCTCACTATATTTCAATACAACCTCATCTTAACTTAATTACATCTGCAAAGACTTAATTTCCAAATAAGGTCACATTCACAGGTACCCACGGTTAAGAAATTCAACCCACAACAAAGAGGCTGTGAGTTTCTTTTGCCTTTTCTTTTTCTTTTTTTCCCCCTTTTGCTATCCTGGTTGTTCTTTTTTTCCCTCTTGTTAACCTGGTTGTTTTTGTGCAGAGCTGTGGGGGAAATTCAAAATCAAAGCTGCTGCCACCATCTTGCCCCACTTAGAATCTTGTGGTTGTGTTGTAAGCACCCATTTCTTGAAAGAGACTTGAAAGAGGGTACAGTGGAGGCCCAAGGCCACAGGTTCTCAAAAATCCCTAACAAAGTTTCTTTACAGAGAGACAGAGTCCCACAATGATGACAAAATGTGGGGGAAAGAATCTGCAATGAACTGGCAGGAACCCTGAAGGTAAAGGGGAAAAAACGTTCTGATACTGGGAGAAAAGGTTCCAGAGGAGGAATACTGCTTACAAGGTTAAAGACTGAACCCAAGGCAAAAAGTAATTCTCTATAGGCAAAAGAAAGTCCTTACCTGTGAGAGGTATGAGATCTTTGGTGGAGCTCCTTTAAGGTCCAGATGAACCAGTCTCATCTTAAATGGTGTGGACTCTGACATTTCAATATTTTTTGTGAACTCCTATAGCAAAATCTCTCGCCTGGACACTTCTTCCTAGTGGAGAAAGTAAGTCAGAGTTATAAACAGGACAGAGACTTCTCCTTCAGTCCTTTCCCTTGCACTTCCTGTTTTAGTTCTGTATTGGCCAGTTTTGCTTTATTAATTTGGAGGAAACTTGTTTTACTAACCTCAAAATGAATCAAGAAAACTATCTCCACATTTGGGATTGCCCCTAAAATAGAATGGCACTGGTTTCTTTATAGGATGGTTATGATGTATAAAAGATCTTCTTAAACTAGATATATATGCCAGTGAAAACAAGCCCCACAATATGATGTTTCTGTAGGAAAGTTATCCTCAATTTAATTCTGAATAACGAAGTTAATTTGCATCTCTAGAGCTCAGGTCGACTTGGTAGTAGAGAGGAAGAGACTGCAGAGTTTGCTTTAGGTTGGAGAAAATTGCCTAGGATTTAAAGTAAGCAAGTGATAGTTTGAAAAAGGAAAGAGCCCCAAATGTATCAGAGCTGACTGTAGTTTATACTAAATTTTTAAAGTATCTGGATTATAATGAAGCAGCTGTGAAAGAGTAAAATTTATTTTTTTCTATTATAAGAGCACAAAGGATTGGATGGAAAAAGGAAAGAAAGATCTTCGTATGCTAATACATTCAGTTCAATAATTCAACCTATGCAAAGAGTCATACGTTCCTAGCCTTGAGGGATCTAGACAGCTGCAGAAATAAAGTGGATGCACACAGAAACCCATCATTTTGATTTTCAAAATTACATACAGTTTTTAACCAATAATCTCAATGCCAAGACTTTCAAGGCAGTTACTTAAGTTACTAGCTGCAGGAGGAATGAATCTTGTGAAAAACATTCTGAGAAGGTGCGATGCTTTTAAAGCTTAATCGGTTGAGAAATTGTACAAACCAAAGCTATTTTCCGAGTACGGCTTTGAAGTGAACACTTTGGGGCACAGCGCCGGCCAAGCGCGGAGACGCCTGGTCACCGGCCAGGGTAGGTGCCGAGCCTCACCTGCGCCGCCGATGTCCCACCAGGCCTGGGGGGACCTGGCCCGACTGCACCGCGCGGGGGCGCGGGGAGCTGGAGGCCCGCGGTCAGCTCAGGGCCGGCTCGGCTGGGCTCTGGGAGCCGCACCCCCGGGCGGGGCCCCTCGCACGTAGCCGCGCGGCACTGCTTGGAGGAGGCCCGCCCCGCTCGACCGCTCGGCCGCCGATCGCTCGGGCCTGGCCGCTAGCCCCCGGCCGGATGGCCGAGCGCGTCGCTCTCGCGTCCCCGCGCCGAGCCCGCCTCCCGCTCCCTGTCGTGGCGCTCGTCCCCGGGCCTGGCGGCTGCTGCGTTCAGCCCGATTCCGCGGCGGCCTGGCCCGATGGCGCCTCAGCGGAGGGGCGCAACCAAGACGCCCGAGGGCAACGGGGGTGCCGAGCGCCGACGTCCGAGCAGGTAGCAAGCGAGCGCGGGAAGAGTGAGAGCCGCGGTGGCCGGCGTGGCGGGGCCGTGGTTTGGGAGGGGCGGGGCTCCAGCAGTGTTATGGGTAGGGCCTGGAGGAGGGGCGTGGCTTGCAGCGTCCCGTGCGGGAGGCGGAGTGGGTGTTAGTGCAGACTCAAGTGGAAATCGACAGCAAAGTGATGGAGCCTGCTCAGATTCTGGAGACGGATGAGAAAGAGAGGAGAGGGCTTTTGACTCCCCCCACCCACCCCCGAGATGCTTCTGCATGGTGGAACCTACTGTGTTTTGGCTGTAGGTATCCGATAGAATAACCCATTCAGTGACCTGGAAAGTGCCTGAGCCGGGAGCACTTATCCGCCGCCACTTTTAAACCACAATATCTGCTTTCTCGTGGAATTTTAGGAGCTTTGTAGGGCTGTGGAGGAATGACTTCATTTTAATATTGTTAAATGTTACCGGTAATGGTTTGTTATTATTAGCGCAAGATTTTTTTTTTTTTTTGAGTTGAAGTCTCACGCTGTCACCCATGCTGGAGTGCAGTGGCACGCTCACGGCCACCGCAGCCTCGACCTGCTGAGCTCAGGCGATCCTTCCGCCTCAGCCTTACAAGTAGCTGGAACTACAGACGCACACCACCATGCCCGGCTAATTTTTTGATTTATTGTACAGACGAGGTCTCACCAAGTTGCTAGGATTACAGGCTTGAGCCACCGCGCCCAGCCAGTGCAAGATCTTTTAGCATGCAGAAAACCAGTTTGCTTGCTTTATAGTTTGTTCTTTTGGAAATTGCCTAATTCCACTCTATTGACAGTTACATACTGAAACTATCTTTGCTGGGCTCGGTGGCTTACGCCTCTAATCCTAGCACTTTGTGAGGTTGAGGCTAGAGGATTGCCTGAGTCCTGGAGATCGAGACCCCATCTCTACCAAAAAAAAAAAAAGTTGGCCAGGCATGGTGGCATGTACCTGTAGTCCTGGCTACTTGAGAGGCTGAGGCAGGAGGATTGCCTGAGTCCAGGAGGTTGAAGCTGCGGTGAACTGTGAGCATGCCACAGCACTCCAGCCTGGACTTTTATTTTTTTAATTTTTAATTTTTAATTTTTTTTTAGTTGGAATCTCACTCTGTCACCCAGACTGGAGTGCAGTGGCCGCTCCCGGCCACTGCAGCCTCGACCTGCTGGGCTCCGGCGATCCTTTCCGCCTCAGCCTTCCAAGTATCTGGAACTACAGACGCGCGCTACCACGCCCGGCTCATTTTGATTTATTGTAGAGATGAGGTCTCGCCAAGTTACCCAGGCAGGTCTTTTAACTATCACTTTAAAAATATCAGGGAGATACTTTAGGCTTAGACAGACTACAATAACTATTTTTTTTTTTTTTGAGTTGGAGTCTCATTCTGTCGCACAGCCTCGACCTGCTGGGCTCCGGCGATCCTTCTGGCTCAGCCTTCCAAGTAGCCGGAATTACAGGCGCATGCTACCACGCCCGGCTGATTTTTTG